CCATTTTGGTCCTCCCACTCATTCGTCATTGACACCATGGATGAAATTGGTGCTATATACCACTGTAGCTTGTGGGCCCCTGTCAGTTGTTCTCATGAAAGGACAATGCTTAAGATTGCTTCCTGCTCCATTGGCTGGGTGTGAGAAGGCCTTAATATGGTCTTGGGATGGTTCAACAATTGGTGGGTTGGGAGGGAAGTTTGAAGGAAATTTGGTGAAGGGAAGTGTCCTCTTGCATTGCTTAAACTCTCTGCTGAAGTACTCTGCTGTTCTTGTGCAACCACTCAGCAAATCTGATCTCGAGAAATCTGGAAGAGTTATTACAATGGATGTGCCTCTGCCCCTAAAAAATGCTGATGGTTCAATTGCTTGTGTGGGGAATGAATCGGGTCTGTGTGAACTAGAAAGGTCAAGATTGAATTCCCTGTTGACTAGTGTGACAAACAAATTGGAATTGCCAACAATTGGTTATATTCGCTTACTGAAGCTTTTTAATGAAAGGGAAGCAGACCTGTTTGCTCCTGATGACCAGAAATATGAATGGGTTCCTTTAAGTGTGGAGTTTGGGATGCCCCTTTTTAGTCCCAAACTATGCAACAGCATATGCAAAAGGGTCGTTGCATCAGAGATACTGCAGTCTGATTCACTTACTGAACATCATGACACGATGCAAGGCTTACGGAAAAGGTTGAGAGATGTATGTGCAGAATACCATGCAACCGGTCCTGCTGCCAAGCTCCTTTATCAGAAAGAGCAACAAGCAAAGGATTCATCTAGGCAGCTCTTGATGAACTATGCTAGTGGAAGGTGGAATCCCCTTGTTGATCCTTCTTCTCCTATATCAGGAGCTTCAAGTGATCTCCAGAGGCTTAAACTTGCTAATCGTCAGCGTTGCAAAACTGAAGTACTAAGTTTTGATGGCAGCATTTTAAGGTGTGTCTTTCTTTTTATTGTTTGCTAGTCATAGATTGATTTTCATAATTAGGTGCTACTGAATGGATTCGAACCTTGGATCTCCTTGGTTTATTGTTTGCTAGTCATGTTAGTTTATTACCCTGCTCCTCTATCCCAAGTTTAGAGCTTCCAGGTGTATGTCAATACTGCAGAACTCACTGATAGTATGGTCTATAGGCACTCTGTTTTACCAGTGCTTGGTGTTGCCTCCAATTGATAAAATAACCAACTCATAAAAAAAAAGAATACATTCTTCAAACCTCAAACTTCCACTTCCACCTCTAAAATCTTGTTTTAAATTGACGTTTTCCGCCTTTAGTTTATCTCTAATTCTTCCTTTATACCCCTTTTCTTCTATAAAACTTCAAAAGAGCGGGTGGGATCATGTGAGTCACTTCTAACAATTCACATATTTTAGTAGTTCCATCTATTAAAAAATGTGAAAAAGTGTGAGCCCACCTAATCATTTCATTAGCATTTACTTGGTTAATTATTTGCTCTCACTTTCAATTCTATGATGCTTCTGTTGACAACTCTAATAGGCTTCCTATTGGATGAATTAAATGGGTCCTTGGTATTTCCAGATGTTCATTCTGTGCGGTGAAACACATCTTTGATTGGCAAAATTGCAAAATTATACAACCAAATTCTCAAAAACTTGGGCCTTGTGTACTATTGATTTCATTCAGTTTCCAAAACATGGGACTTGTGGAAACATAGATGAATCAGAATCAAGCTGAAATCAAAACTGAAAACTTGTTTAGCTTGCAACTGTGGAATCTCTATCAATGTGAAAATAAAAGCAAAAACATTTTTAGTTCTTTCCATCTTTACCATCATATTCAAAAGAAACAAGCAAAACTCAATTGGAAAAATAAAAATAAAAAGTTGTCCCAGAAAATTATTGGAAAAAGAACACATTAATGGTTGCAATGAACAATTTGGATGATTGCAATCGTGGTCTCAAACTTCATCCACTAAGGTAAGCTTAATGGTACCGATTGACATCTTGAACTCATCCTTTATACAGCTGACTGATAGTTTTATAGCTTTCGTTGTCATAACAAGTTTTTTAATAATCATTTTTGTTACACTTGCAGATCATATGCACTGACTCCTGTGTACGAGGCCTCTGCTAAAGTGATTGAAGAAGCATCTTTAGTCAATACTATTAAAGTTGATCCAAATGAAGCTGATAGTAGAGAAGTAGCTCTCCCGGGTGTCAATCTTATTTTCGATGGCTGTGAATTGCACCCTTTTGAGATAGGTGCTTGCCTGCAGGCTCGCCAACCGGTTGCCTTGATTGCGGAAGCTGCAATAGTCTCAGCTTCTGCGATCAAATAATTTTCTTGTGTGCAACGAAGTTCTCCTGGTGGGGTCAGAAAAGACAGATTATCTTCCTGCTAACTTTCTTCTGATTAATATTTGGCTTGCTGCTGTCAACTTGAGGTTACTTGTGCCGGTACTTGCTCCATAACCATGGTAAATTCTTGTTCCGTATCTCCAAGTGCTAGACTTCTTAATGAGTAAGTAGAACTCCATGATGTAAACTGGTAACTTGGCAATAGTAAATTAGGTATCAGTAGCATGTTATTCTTGAATGCATATCAATAACATCCAATAAAGTTTGTCAATTCTACTTGCCTGTTGTATATTTCGGGAATCAGACTTCCAAGGAGTTCAAATTGCCTGGATCTTTAGTTCAAATATCCCCTTTCATCTTGGATGAGTGTTAGATTTTTGAACTGTTGGTGAATCCCTTGATTTACATACTGGTTTGGAGTTTCCTCTATTCCAACTGATTTTAAGCAGTTGATTTCCTCTATATTATTGCCATTAAAAGGATGACATTTGTTATTTCTGATGTTAATGCAGGTGGTGTACGTATTAATATTAAGTATAGGCTTTTGCTGACCTCTGGTGCCCCGTTAGACTGATAATGGCACTTGGATTGAAGAATGGTTGAGTTTTCATCCAAAGCCTGGCACAATACTGCCAAGCGACAAGCGAGGATATCAATGACACTTGAGGGAACAAAGTTACAAAGAAAGAAGGTTACCTGCCATGGAAAAGGATCATTTTGTGTTGCTCAGCAAGTGGAGCTAATTGCTATCCTCTGAAGATGCAGAGTGTATAAATATGAGAGGAATGTAGGAGAGAAGCTGCATATAAATTTTTCCGATTGGGGATTAGTAAATGGCTGAGGTATACCAGAACATATGGGGCGACTGCAGTCCAGTTACAGAGTTTTGGATTGTTTTTGTGAATTCAGCGGGAGAGTTTTCCGTGGCAGAACTCATCCGTTGAATCATGCAAAACCCAGTTTCCCCTGATGTGCCTGGATGTTGCAATCAGGATGAAGTCGATTTGTGTTTCGTACAATGTTGTGAATTTGTGCAAGAGACAGTTTAAATCTATGTGCACAAGAAGTTAAATCCCTTTGCACTAGCGGCTCATGTTTGATGTCTTAGTGAACCAAAGTTATTCAGCATGATAGAATCATGCGCTTTTATGCAAAGGATCTCGGTCCTGGGCGGTTTTTGATCGACACATTTTGTACAAATGCTGTCTCATTGGCCAGTGCTACTATCTTTCTCGTATCCGACTAACTGTGGCAAATCACACTTTACTGTTCTGTTAAACTTTGAGGTAGTTGGTCACTGACTCACTGCTTCTCCGTCGACCACCATTACTCAGTACACATCTCATCAGCTCGGAGAGGGAGGGGGTTCAGATTAGGTAAGTAATAGGAAAGGGATTCAAATCCCTTTTGATTTCAATATCATCGTTGAGCCTAGGGATGGCAAGGAAAAAATCTCAAAATACACATGTTTTAAAAAAAAATTCAAAATATACATGTTTCATGAAAAATTTCAAAAATACACATGTTTGTGCATCATTGCAGTTGTCAACCGCAGTGAATGCATTCACCGCGGCAGACGAAAGCGGTGAATGCCGCAGTGAATGCATTCACCGCGGCAGACGAAAGCGGTGAATGCATCACCGCGGTTGACGGCCGCGGTGAATGCCTGACGTAACATTGAAACTTCAAACAAACCTAACTTTGCGCTTGGTTATCTGATCGCATAACTTTTCAAGATCTTTCAATCTGCAACAAAGCTTCATCCCCAAAAAATGTCGTTTGCTACCTCGAACGAGTAATTTTTCGATTGTTCAAACTTCGAAAGGCCGTAACTTTTTACTCCTCAATCCGAACGTCATAAAGTTTTTTTTTATTGCGCATAATTTTTTAAGAACTACAACTTTTATGAGGAAAGAGTTTTTAAAAAAAGAATTATCTTAGAGTATACGGGATTTTGGGAATAACTTTGTCTTTGCTTTTCACAAATCCACATACATTCCAAAATTATGGTCTTGATAAAAGTTGTAGCCCTTCAAAATATAAGTGAAATAAAAAAAAAAGTTTCATGACATCCGGATTGCAGAGCACAAAGTTATGGTCTTCCAAAGTATGTCGAAATCAAAAAATTGCTCGTTCGGGGTAGCAAACGACATTTTTTTGGGATGAAGTCTTGTTGTAGATGGAATCACGGAAAGATCTTGAAAAGTTACGTGGAATCAAAAAACAATTCGCTACAATCGGTTAACTGAGCACATAGTTACATTCGTTTAAAATTTCAGTGTTAGATCAGGCATTCACCGCGGCCGTCAACTGCGATGATACATTCATCGCTTTAGTCTGCCGCGGTGCATTCACTACGGTTGACGACCGCAGTGATGCACAAACATGTGTATTTTGGGAATTTTTCGTAAAACATGTGTATCTTGGGATTTTTTTTATAAACATGTGTATTTTGGGATTTCTTCCTGGATGGCAATGGGTTGGGTTTTGTTAAACTCAAATCCAAATCCATGAGTTTATCCGTGAAAAACCCGGGGTAATACCCACTAGGTTTGAAAAACACAAAATCCGGGGGGTTCATGGGTATGAGTTTTTGTCGTAAAAAAATTACAATAACAAGGTTCTATAAAATTAAAGACAAATATCAATCTCTTAATAAAAATTATCCTTATATAAAACACCATTATAGATAATTCAAGCAAATCACAAATTAACCATACAAATGGTTCAACACCAATCTAGAAAACTCAATAAAATTGAATCAAATCACAAATTATTCATAAACAACATGGATTAATTGAAAACTTATTCCTCCTTGTCAATTAAACTTCTTCACTCTCCACTCCATAATATCAACTTCAATCTACACAATTAGAAAGAAAAAAATTAGACATGTCTCCACAAACATAAAGAAGATTAGTTGCTTAGAATATTAAATATATCGAAAAAATTAATTATATGGGTGTGGGCGGGTATACCTAAACTCAAACCTAACCCGGTGAGTAGTGAACGGTTTAAACCCAAACCTGAACCAAAACCCGTCAACACGGATTTTACCCGCATTGATCGAGTTGGGTCGGGTTAAATACCCGTGGGTTCGGGTTTTTTTGCCAACCCTAGTTGAGCCTACTCCCGCCAACGAAGAAGAAGACTGCCGAGTTTGAACTTCAGCAATCCACACTATTTCGTTAAAACGCAGTCGTCTCACTTGCTACTTTTACCCTTCGTTTGCTTTTCTGTTAAGTTAGCTTTTTGTTTCCTTTTCAAGCAAACCAACAAATGTATCCAACTTGCTATCTTGTTTTCTTCTGTCTTTCTGATGTATATAAGAACCACTAACATCAATGAGAAGACTCAACCACAATTCGTCTAACACAACAAGATTCACAAACACAAAAGCGAAAAGTAAAAGTTAGATTAACACCAAAAAATCTTTTCAAAATAACGGATCGTTAGGGTCCTTGGCAACGGCGCCAAAAACTTGACTCTTCCCGAATATCACAATAAAAATCCCAATCAGGGCCCATGCCCAAGTATAAACCTTAATTGGGTGCAATATAGGGCAAGTATGTTTAAATATCAACCCGGGGCGGTTCATATACCCCTACTTCGATTGTTTGAAATATTATCTATCAATTGGTTGTTTGATTGAAAACTACGATCTACTAATAAAACGGTTTTAAAAATAATTGGTTTCGACTCTTAAATGAGAATGATTCACCCGGGTGTAGCTCCCCCTAACTCGGTACCATGACTTGTCGGAATGACTTAAAATGTATGGTGGAGGTGATTGAGAACCGTAAGGGAAGTGTAGCTAGTGATGGAATATCACTCTCTCGGTCTCTAGGCCAAGGAATTCGGTATAAGCTACCAAGGTAGCTCTCTTGGCCTAATCGACTAAGGACTACAAAACCTTCACTCTCGAATCGGAATTCGGACGTCCAAAACACAATCAACCTAGGTGCCAACACAAACAAGGAGGGATGCATTACATTAACCTAGATAGGATACATGATTTGTCTAAGAAAATCAAGCTTTACAAGCCTCTTTAACAAAATGGGATTTTCTCTCTACCTAGATTAGAATGGCAAATAGATTGATAGGAAAACACACAACACAATCTTCCATGAAAATACCTCAAAATTCGTATTAAAACACACCCACACATAGACAATCATTTCATACAATCAATCACATAGCGTTCACAAACACCCAAGTGAAAAGGGAAACTACTCCTGCTAGGAGAGGGAAAAACATAAGGAAAAAGAAGAAAACCCACCATGGAGATGCTTGAATCCTTCCTTGTGTAGAAGAGATCTTCCTTTGGGGATGATTTTCCCAAATTCTTGCCTTGGAATGAAACCTTAGCTTTTTCTCTATTCTTGCTCGTCACTTTCTCTATCTAGAATGTTGAAGAAGAAGGTTTTCTCACTCAAGGTATCCTCTTCTCTTTTCCTTCAGCTCAAGCCTCCTTTTATACCCAGGTCAGGCTCAAATCACGGTCCCAGTTCACAGCCGTGAGCTCAAGGCGGGGATCGTGATATAGGGCCAAAACGCGCCGCTTCACTAACTCAGTTCACAGTATTTGGCTTGGGTTCACGGTCTTACGACCATTAACTGACTTGAGTCCAGTGAGACCCAAAATGGCTCTGAACGCCTGGCGGTTCACGGTTTGATGTTCCAAATCACGGTCTCCTTGGCCGTGAACTCACTGCTTACATCGTGATCTGCTGCCTCCATTCTTTGACCCGATTTTGTGCCTTTTCGTCCAACTTTGGACTTCGGGGTTGGTTCCACCTGCTATAGACTTAAATACACTAAAACGAAACAAAACCCAGCGTAAAACCAACCTCCCGAAGTATAAATGCCTCAAACGACTAAGGAAACCAGAGGTAAAAAGTGTACAACTAAGCCTAAATAAACTCTCCTTGATTTACTTTCTGTGTTTGTTTATTTTGTAGCTTTCTTAGTTTCAAACCCAAAATCGTTTACTAGATAACAACCTAAGCGATTGAAGTAGGGGTACATGGAACGGCCCGGGTTTGACAATTAAAACATACTTGCCATATACTGCACCCAGCTAGAGTTTATACTTGAGCTCTAGTCGGGATTTAAATCGCGGTGTAGTCTGTGCGAGTCAGTTGGGTTTTGTTTAACAACAGAGACGAAAAATAACGGGTGAAGTTAAAGAATGTGATAATCACAAAAAATAGAAAGGGTATTGACGGAAAAAGTTTTCCGTAAATGAAAGATTCTAAATCTCTAGTTTTAACATATATTTGATATCTCTACTATTTAAATATTTAAAGGGCAATGTCTATTTTTTACCCAAACCTTTTTCAGATTCTTTTATTTTAACCAAACCTATTGAATTCCTAAAAATTATCCAAACGTTAACTCTCCGTCAACTTTTCTGTTTGTAATGTTGACTAAGTATGACCATAATGAGTTTAATTCCTACGTGTCGGTCAGAATACCATCATTTACTATTTTTAATAAAAAGATTATCAAAAAACAAAACAAAATCTCACCTCTCACGTGGACGAAATAAGTAACGGTAACAGAATGAATGCCCAGACTTTGATAAATTATAATACGTTTGGATAATAAATAGAATTTCTATAGGTTTGGTTAAAATAAAAGAATCTGAAAAAGGTTTGGGTAAAAAATAGGCATTGCCCAAAAAATCTCTAGACTTAGAATCTCGCATATTAGTTGTAACAAAAAACAAGACTTTTCTTTAAATCTTTAGATGGAACGAATCTATATCCTAAATCTTGTTCTCCAAACGATCCATTAATCTCATCTTTTGGATTGTTTTTGTGTTACTTGGGACTTGGGAGAGATCTTTGGTGTAACACCCTACCCTGTACGTATTACCTAATCATATTGTTCATACAATTGCAGCGGAATTAATCTTGGGTGCTACATTAATTATCAAAATTTACCCAAATTAAAATTTCGACATGAATTACTCGCGTAATGGGCTAACAGTTCTTGCAACTTATCCTGCAAAATAATTCATCTGAATCTATACATTCATAGACAAACATATACACTCACTGCCATATGTATTGGCTTTTCATAGCCATAGTCACAGTTTCATGTTACACAACTGCATACTATACTAATACATACTATAATCATCACAACTTACACAGTTACACAAAATATACACATATCATCAACTTTCCACACCTTTGGATATCTCACACTACATCAGAAGCTAGTATGCACATGAAAAACGTTCTCAAAACATTTTTACAAAAAGGTGTGGATCACTGGCCAAAATCCCAAGTAGTAGACCAAGCACAGAATAGTTGAAGACCATACCTCATCTTGCCTTCAACTCTTGCTCAGCTCCCACCTACACACCTATCTACTGCTGCTGATGATGATGATCTGCTTACACATAGCATAAGCAGAGAAGAAGAATAAAAGAGGGTTAGCTCATAGCTGAGTGAGATAATCATAGCATCGTGAGTTCATAACAGAGCATACCCCTACCATACATCTAGCAAACAAGACAAAGCACTAGGATCAGACCTCAGCCATCCGACATCCCAATAGACAAAAGACTCAACCACCTTGACTTATGCATATGCATTTTATCATGTTTTACTTATAGGCGCCTGACTACTCCCATGCTAATAACTCTCCCGGGAAAGATACCCCACATCCCGATGTAGTCATACATACCCCAACATCCCGTCGGATGTGGTCATACATACCCCACACCACTATGGGTGTAGTCATACCCCGACACCGCTCTGGGTGTGGTCATATCTCGTAAGAATTCTTCAGTCACCACCACATGAGAGGTGTGACTATCATACATATCATAATAGAGTAATAGCATAGGGAGCCCTAATTACTATGTAGCTGACCGTGAGACCACAACACTCATATTTGGTATCCTTATACATGATTCATATCTCATCTTGCTTAATCATAATTCATTACTTGCACATGTACTTGACCTGGCCATAATTGGCTCAACATAGGTAAATCAGGAGTCGTATAATTGCACTTCCTCGGGATAAACCCTCGTGCAAGTCATCCTCCTTAAACATCATAATATCACCCTAGGAAATTTATTTCCCCCACTTGTGAATCCAAAAATAACCACAATATCACATCATGTCAAAACACCTGATCGAACAACCATGAAGTCATATCAAAAGTTAAGCCACAAATGGCAACATTAATGCAATCATCAACATAAACAAGGTCCATATCGGCTAGGGCAAGTCAATAATATCATACAACAATCCATGATTCATTATATAGCATAAAAGTCCATACACCCCTAATCATGTCATTCTAATTCATCTAGGTCGATTCTAAGCATCAATATAATTATCGTGATACGACAAACCCGGTATGCAGTACTAATCCCTCACCAGTTCTGGTCGTTCAAACACCGGTTTAACCTTCCCGTACTAAAACGTCAATTTCACGAACGAACCCCGAATTAAAATCCGAGACCGTCCTAATATCCCCTCGCTGCAAGAAGCTCGTATATAAAATTTGGGCTCAATCCGGCTTCCGGATAGTCCGAAACCCTAATTTGGCTTATCGGAAATTCAAGAAATTCGGGATTTTTGGATCTCTGTAGCTTGAGCTTTGGAATTTTGCACAGAAGCCTCCCTGTGCGCGCTCTGCTTCTCGTTTACTCTCGGTTCAGAAATGGAAAAGATGATGATGGTGATGGGAGTTAATGGACCGGGGAAAGTTTATATAAGTGGTGTCGTGTGACCGCTTGTATATATATAATATTTTATATATATAATTAATACGTATACTTATCCGATCGATTGATAATCCGATTTTCGTCGAAATACTATTAAAACCCCCGATTTTAATCGCGTAATTTTTTTAGCGACAGTAATACGATTTTAGCCGAACCGGGATATTACATTTGGATTCTCTTAACATCAGTGTCACGGTTAAGAAAGCTTTTTGGCACTCCATATTCATTAAAATAGCTTGCTAACGTTGTACTAGAGCTACTAGCTTGTCATTCGTGGACATAGCTTGTGGTTGAGCAAAGCTCGACCCTTGCTCTTTATATAGAGGCCTTGCACCAAACCCAAGTGGTATCAAGTTAGGTTTCTTCACCCAATTTGAATGGGATGAAACTTGATTCGGCTCTAAATGCACATATTTTACCCCTCATTTTTTGATAGTTTGACTTTGCATTTCATCGTCTCTCGACCTATTTTATGCTTGTTTGTGCTTGGTTTGTCATATTTCATGTCCTGGCACGTGTAGAAGGGTCGATGACGAGTTTCGGGAAGATTGGAGTTGAAACGTGGCAAAAAGTGAAGAAAAGTTCAAAGACCGTGACAATTGCCCCAAGATCGTGAAGCACGGAGGTTCCATAACAGTTTGCCATCTCACTGGAGCCCAACCAGTTCACGGTCGCAAGATCATGAACTCCAGCCCCAGACCGTGAAGTGACTAAGTGAAACGTTGCGAATCTGCTAGACTTCACAGTCTAGGACGAATGTTCACGGCCGTGAACTGGGACCGTGAACAGGCGTCGATCTGGGTATAAAAGGGGAAGTGAGCTGAAGGAAAAGAAGGAGAGCTTTTGGTAGAGTTTTAATTTTAAGAATAAAAGGGGATTTCTAGTGAGAGATTAGGGTTTTCTCTTCCTATTCTAGAGAGAGAAAGTGTCATTCAAAGGAGGAAGAAGGAGATTTGGGCTTGCCCTAAACTAGGGGATTGAAGGTTTTTTCTTCTCAAGGAAGGAAGATTGTCATCTCTTCATGGTTCTTTCTCTCATTTTAGTTGATTTCCTTTGCCTAACTATGGAATAGCCTACCTCTTCACTTGGGTGTTGTGAACCCTAGTTTGAAATAGGTGATAGATTATAAGAATTGAATGCTATGTGTGTGAGTTTGTGTTTAATGCAAAGTTTGAGGTATTTTAATGATATTTGGGTTATGTTCTTCATTTCTCATTATTATGCCAATTTGACCAGAGGTAGAGGGAATTCCCTTTTTGTTAGGAGGTTCCGATGAGCTGGATTCCTTGGCCGATTGAGTCACATACCTAGGGCAAATTAGGGTAAATCTTAAACTTCGATTTAGCACTTTAACTTGGGTGCTACTTTGTCGTCCAGATTAAGTTTCGAGGGATTGGTTTTGCAACCCTGAGTTTTATCGGTTAAGAGAGCTAGGACTGTTGGCTTATTGTTGCAATCCTTAGCCGAAAGGTTAAGAGAGCTAGACTCCTTAGTTTATTGTAGCAATCCTTAATTCATTGATTGAGAGAGCTAATGTTCCTAGCTTAATTGTTTTCCTTAAACGATTTATTAAGAGAGTGAGGTTTCCTTCACTTGTTGCGCCTTCCTACGGTGTAGTAACACACCTCCACACATTTGCATTCAATTTGGGCGATCTTGATATGTAACTAGGGGAGCAATACCCGGGTGAACTCCTCTCATTGGGACAACATCGATTTACTTTACTTGCTTGTTTTCATTTGTAGTTTTCTTAGTTTTAAACCCAAACACATTGGCTAGATAACAAACTAAGTGATTGAAGTGTACATGGACCGGCTCGGGTTTGACAATTAAAACATATTTTCCTATATTGCACATGACTAGAGTTTCTACTTGGGATCTAATCGGGATTTAATTCGCGTTGTAGTCCGTAGCGAGTCAAAACTTTACCATCCCAATTTGCACCAATAAGGTATGGTGCATTAATCATGATATCTTAAGATAGTCATCTAACTAATGATCTCGAGACCAGCGCTTACATTTTCCAGGGTTAAGTGCACCGGTTGCCACTTAAGTTTACCTTTTGTTGCACAGTGACCACCTAAGTGCGTTTTGTTGCATATAAATCATTTATGTCGAATAACAGTTGCAACGTTACCATTTCCGTCAATAAAACTAACGGTAGGTACCTAAAATTAATTTTCCATATCCTGTCAATAGTCCACGTCACCTTTTGTGTCTGCCCCTTTTTTCCTGGACTCGTTCGAACAATTCTTATACTACAAATGGGCTTCGTACCGCCCAGTCCACCGGTGGCTGCGCTCACATCACATCACCGTCGGCGCCAACCATAATTAGTTCTGCAATTCTCCATAGCCATATATTTAATTGACTACATATTAGAGATAAATGACGGGATAATGATATAATTATCCACCTGCTGACCCCTCTGTAAATGGAGTTGTGCTTGTGAGGGGAACTCTTGGCAAGCTCTTTCTCATCCTCTTCCCTACAGTCGCGACCACCTTCTCCTTTTTAATGCAACTACCTGCTCCCTTTCCTGCTGCAGTAGAACAAACTTTTCTTTGAGATTTTTGCTTGATTGAAGGCGTGACGCCCATTGAACGCCCCAATCGAGGGGTGCCAAGAGTTGAGAGCCACGGAGAGAGCATCTTTGGTTCTTGATCCAGAACTTTCATCACTAGTGAGTCGTCAATTCCCGCCACATTGACGTCTTTGGTTCTTGATTTCGCCGTGGCCGTCTTCTTCCCCTTCCTCATCCTTGTCCCACTCCGCTTCATTTTCGTCGCTCGCTAGCTCTCCGATTGGTTCGCCGGAATCGTGATTTGGAATTCGAAAAAGGGGTCAACGATGCAAGTAAGAGGCCCATTTATATAGTGGGCCCGATCTGACTCAGTCAGGCGATGACGTGTACTGTTGACATGGCGGGGAAAATTAATTTTAGGTACCTACTATTCATTCTATTGACGGAAATGTTAACGTTGCAACTATTATTCGACGTAAATGATTTATGTGCAACAAAACACACTTATATGGTCACCGTGCAACAGAACGTAAACTTAAGTGACAACCGATGCAATTAACCCCATTTTCCACTTAAACCCTTTGCATACCTCGAGGGAGTGGTCATGGTCCATGAAGCTTGATCACAAAAGCTGCACATTAAGAGCCCGTCAACCCGACCACCCACTGAACTGAGTGCACTGATAAAGATAAGAGAGAGGGATGATATGTACAATACTATGCAATGAAAGATCAACGTTAAGAATAGTTGTACATAATAGTATACATGATACACCGAATTGCTCTACTGTAGCTCTAGAATCAGCCAATGGTTCGATAAAACTCTCGACTCTTTATACAGATCTCTCCATCTTTTCCCCTCTCCTAGAAACTTCCATTCTTGGCTGAAGTAATGCAGTTCTTTTTCTTTTTGTAAGGTCAGAAGTAATGTAGTTCATTTTGAAAGAAGTTGCACTAAAACCCGGGCAAGACTGAGAGGTCTGCTATGCCTCTTGGAAGGTCCGCGATTCTCTTAAGTAGAGCAAGCCTGTTTTTTCGTATGCTTTCATCTTCCTGCTCTCATCCAATTGCCAAAAACGACAATGAATCACTAAGATGTAAAATGCGATACCACAACAATTGACAAAGGTCTCACAACTTTATGCAGGAAACGTACCACCATGACGAAGACATTATTGAAGAAATCCTCAAGTGGCTGTAACAGCTCCGCAGAAATTTCAATAAATTCATCAACCTCGATACCTGCAACATGATGAGCTTCATGTCATGCCCGCTTAAAAAAAACAACAAACAAGCTACATCTAGGAGCTCCTTGCAACACCACAACTAGAAGATAGGCAAGAACGATAACAAGTTCTGAAATGCGGCAAGAGTACCAGGGTGAATTTGCTTCTCGTCGACAAGAGAGCATTCCACAAGCCTCTCTCTTCATTTGTCTCGAACTTCGTTTCATCCACCTATCAGAACAAAGAACAAAGGGATATCATATATGTCATTGATCTCCAACTTCTTCGTTTATGAATGATGTGTATCAATTTCAGGCATTCATATACAACACAAGATGTACATCAACAACGATATAATGAGTCATGTGCAAGAAAGAACAAAGAAGAATTGATATTTTAAGATGCAATAAAGAAACAGGAAATTCAAGTTCATATACTATCAGAGGGAAGCAGACACACCTCATAACTCGAATCATAATCCTTTCCTCGCACTATTCTTGTTGGACGAGAATACACTTCAACCACCTTAGGAAAAAGATGATCTTCTGACAACGCTCGCATCTGGGGGGGAAAATAATTATTTACTCCGTAATCTATCACCTGACAGCTTTTTTTATTGCAAACTGATTGGCAACTCATTTTTTTTTATTAAGGGTGACAAATTAGTTTTTATTATTAGGTGACATTTAAGGATTTAAACATGGACATCCAGGTTGAAGACCAAGCCCTCGTTCGCACTTCTGCTCTTCGAAAAATTGTAATAACGGAAATAATCGAACATAATAGTGATGCTAAGGAGTGATAAAGCAAACTCACTTTGAATGCTGTTTTTGCAGCGACATAAGGAGAGTTCCCACGCTCAGCCAGTACTGAACGGACGAATTCAGGACTTATTCCCTTGTCAACCTGGCGGTCATAGTAATAGTTTTATATGAAGAAACTATCAGGAAAAACAAACATTATGGTAATTAGGAGAAAATTATAATCCAAGATTGCACAGTTACCAAAAATTGCTCTAGTCTTCGAGTAACAAATGCATGTGCCTGAGACCAAGACAGAGATCAGCTGTCACATTCTCATATCAATTTCTTCTTTCAGGTACTCTTACGTCCATATTCAAATGAAGTGATCCTAATGACCTCATGAAAGGAAATCAAGGTTTTAGGGATGTAGTAAGAGTTTAAGCATAGATACCAAGGAGACATTCAATTCAAAAATGGCTAGGAGAATGCCATGACAATAAGCTGTTTTTTCACACTCCAGAAACAAATCGTTATCTAGTTGAAAGAGAGAAAAACCCAAAATCTGAAGCAAATCTTGCATTCTTGTCAAGCCTGAGCTGTTTAAGAGATTGTAAATGGGTAGATTTTGATGGTTTTGTACCCATTGCCATTTATTTGGATTGGGTTGGATTTTTAATCATGGATTTGTACACATATTCATTTGCAAATTACAATTTGATACCTAAATTTAATAGATCTTTAGATTTAGTACCTAATTTTTTTGCATATAAGTCCTCAACATATTGATGGAAAGTACATTTTAGTACCTAAATTTTATATACTACATTTTCATACCTAAATTTTTTAAGTTTTACAAATAGGTCCAATTTTTTGTATGTGTAGTAATAACACCCTAAACTATAGGGGTATATATACATTAGGAAGCAATATTCAGTTATTCACACCCTAACCATAATCAATGGATTTATTTGGGTTTGGGGTAAAATTACCCATGGATGGGTAATTGCCATCCTAGTTGTAAGCAATCATCAGGGGTTCTCTCCCTATAAGCAGCTCCTTCACTTTCCTAGGTGGGTCGGCGGACACAAATTCTTTAGCAAACGATCCAGAATCTGGTCCATTCAAAAAACTACTTGATTCCTCGTGCACAATCCAATGAGTGTCAGAGAGAATGAAAAATTGACAATACTCACATCACTATTATTTGAGCATCCACGTGTATTGGTTGCAAAGCAGCAGCAAGTTTTATAGCATGAAGCAAATCCAAATTTTTCTCCCTTTCTACTAATATTTGAACCTGCAAAACAGAAAGAACACACTTAATTTACAATTTTTTTCTTTTTTAATGAGTGAAGATGACAGATTGTTCTTACCAGACCATACGAGATTCTTCTCAGGCCAAACTGGTCATTAGTAGAACTAGGCTGGCATCCAGCAGCCAAATAAACCCACAAGGCTGTCCAATCTGCAAGGTAACGTAAAAAATAGAAGAGCTCAGCCAAGAGGCCGATAATTGCCTAGCAAGAGAGAACATAAAATATGCAGTACATCCAGAAGCAGGAACGCGGTTCATATAACAGTAATTGGATGCTTTTAATAATTCTGTCTGAAAACAGATATTTCAAACCTCTTCAGCAATGAATGAGCAAGGCTAAGACAGAGACTCAACAAAGATATACACGATAAACAGAGTACATCCATATTTCACCTGTCAGCAATTGCTAAAACAATGCCTGCATCGCTTTTCGGAACGTTATCCCCAGAAAATCTTGGAAGTGTGATTTTCTAACAATGCCTCTGCAATCTGCTACAACAGAAAGCATGAAGCACAAGAAGTTAATTTCAGCATTAACAAATGCAGTACCAGGAAATAACTCCACTGAAGAAGCCATGAGACTCGACCAGTGTAAACAAAGGGATAAAAACATGTCAAGAAGAAGAAGGATAGAGACATGAAAAGTGCTCGATCAAGAGTCCATCACCTGCTCTGAGTATCCATCCCTTAGAGCATAGTGACGTGCCATTATTCCGGAAAGGCCAGTGAATTCCGTTACTACTGCAGTAGCAAGGTCTGACATTGCTAGTGACGCAGCATCCTTCACAATTTGAAGCGTATCTTCCGCGATACCCAACTCCAAACCCAAGTTTTCAACAAGATTTTGCAAGCGTACCACCTTGTCAAGCATTGTTCCAAGCTTCTCTGATTTATTAAGTGTGAAGAGATGAGTACAACTTCCATCAGAGATGGAACGATCTCTCATAGAAACTTCTCAAGCAGTTACCAACTGGTCAGCCATCATAATGAATCCCAGACCTCCGTAAAAAAATAGCACACTGCTTGCATGTCAAAGTGGAAAGCATTCTATGGCGTGCCATTTTGACTACAATCTAGCTAGAAAACTATGAGCTTACAAAATGTAAGTGAAGAACTCAGCTTTCCATTTCTTATAACTGGCTGCCATCTGCAGACGTCTCCTGAAAAATTGCAGGTATTGTAAGATAGGCACAGACAACTTACATGAAAAAGTATCCCTTTCAGCTGACTTTGAAACTCTGAGAATTTCCTTCGAGTATCCATCCCATAGAAAAATTTAGCATCTTCATACCGTGCTCTGGTAAATTAATGAAACCATCATGAGACCCTTTTTCGTTTTTATGAATAAAAAAACTTTAGGTTAATAATAGTTTCTTAATTAAGAGTTCATGCTATACCATTGTTACAGGTTTAGGTGTATTGAGCATGTATTGAAGAAAGATATTTCGGAGCATCACCCATCATTAAGGATACGTCAACCATTCCTTTGACGCAGCAAAAATATGGAAAATTAAGAAAGATTCACATTAACCTAAGCACAGCTTCATTCCCTTCTCTAACCACCAGCTCGTTTATTGGCCCATTTGCGACCTGTAATGAAGCCCGGTCACTATAATTCGAAGCAAAAAAACAAATGAATTGTAAAATGTGGCCAATCTGGGTTTACTGCTATAAAGTATGGAAGTAGCTTTCCACTGTCATCAATGATTGCAAAATACTTCTGGTGCTTCTGCATGACCTGCACAAGTTATGCATATTGGTTAAAACTTGGTTGCAAAACCCAAATTTATCCTTGCAGCAGCATCAATCTCTAAATTCATTCTAAACAGGTTCCTCAAGATTAAAATCAAGATTTGACCAGAGCTGCCCTTGAAGAACCAGGCATTATAAACCTCATATCAACAACAGCCAAACATTGCACATTTTCCCTGAAGACCAAATTTTGATTATTTTAAAGCTTCTTTATGACGATGAAAAAACATGTGGATAGAATGCCCGCTAACTTCTACGAAAAGACGATTGTTACTACAATTCACACCTCTTCAAACACTATTCGGACGAGAATGTTTGGTGTATGGGTAACCTATATTACGTTATACTACTCCTATGGAGATTTCTTGAGAGCTCCATGACTACAACTAAGATCACGACTATGGATGAGAGCTCTACAACTATGATTATAAGAAAAAGAAAAAAGGGACAATTGAGACAAGTTATTTTTTGTGTGTTTGTGATTGTCCGTCTTTCTCTAAGAAATTGCTTCAAGTATTGTTGTTAAGAGTTGTCAACAGCTCTCTCTAGTCTTCACGAAAAGAAGTTTCAGCGTCACATCTACAATCTCCACTCCGAGTCTTCATTGTAGTCATTTGTTGCTCGCAGTAACAATTTTCATAGGCCACCTTGACGTGTCACTAACAACCTCCTTGTGTCATGAATGGTTGAATGGTATTCATACTTACAAATTGGATTGTATCCATGTTATTGGATGGCACCATCCACTTAGGGATTGGATGGTGTCAATATAAAATGGGATGGTACCATCTACTAACGGGTAGGATACGATAATACCATCCACTAAGTGATTGGATGACGTCCATGATAGGGTTGGATAGTTTTCATAAAATGGAATGGTATCATCCAACCTCTTAATGGATGGTGTCCATGAAATGGGATGATATCATCCACTTGGGGGTTGGATGATATTCATGACATGACATGGTCACCATAAATTCAACTACTATCCACCACAATAAGGCCTAACCAGACCATCAAGACAATCCATTATGTATGTGCCCACATCCAAGATAGTTTGTGGTGTTTTAATAGAAAATGTTGTTTTGGTGTAAACACTAACAACAGAATAATGATTTCCTCCTTTCTGCACATAATTTTTGGAGTTTTAGAAGCAAAACTCAGTATCAAATTCATATAGTTCATCGTGAGAACTGCTTCACGGGTGAAATAATCAAGAATTTAACATCAAGGAATGCAGAACAGTACGACTTCACAAAACTGTAGCAGCTACAAAAGAACCCAGCTCAGGACCGAAAAATACCACATATTATGTTAAATATTGGATTCCAAAATGCTTAGACAAAACTATGCTCTCGTCTCTCGAACAGTGAGTATCACATATTGTGATTTTAACCAAGCGCTATAAAGTCAATTCAAATAAGATTGTTGTTTCGGTAGAAACATAATCTAGGGATTAAGGCCTCTAATGTCTAGAATCTTACCATTTTCAAAAGATCGTCTGGGAGCTCCAAGAATGACTCTTTAAACTTTCCAAGCACCGCTACTGGTGCCTCAACAAGATTTACTACCTAAAAAAGCACAAATAGTATTAGTCATCCATGTCTGCTTATCTTAATGGACTTCATAAGGGAAGGTAACTCCATCACCTCGCTGAGTAAATTTTCCTGCACAAAGATATGACCATTGACACTTTTTGCCAACATATTAGACTGCTCCAAAATGCTTTGCTTTCGACCCTGTAGGGTAGAGCATAGTATCATAAAAGTTTTAGTATATATGAATTTCTCATTGCTGAAGGTCTTCAGCCAATTCAAGAGAACTAGCAAATTGAAGAAATAAGGATTTCAACCAATACCTTTATTGCAATATTAATTCCAGCAGTCATCAACGCGCTTGCATAGGATTCAGCACTTAAAACCTGTAAAAAAAAATTCATGTCTATCAAAATCATGATACATAACCACAGTATGAGCAAATGATCTGTAAGACTATGCTTCGATGGCAAAATAGAGACCGAGTTGGATGATAAGAACTGGAGAAACTTTTGAAGAAACATGGTCCCAATTCCACAACATCTCATCTCCAAATCAGCTTGTGAACTTCTTAGCAACAACCAAAAGATGCAAGTATGGCACTCTCAGTTCAGATTTTGAGCAACTCAAATAGTACCTAAAAGTGAATTAGGTCTGAGTAACAAGCTAACTCGGGAAAAGATAACATGTTTAGCTTTAGCATATACCTGAATTATAGCTGAAGCGGTATTGCGAAGGCCATATGATAGCTTTCCACTGCAATCATGCATGGAGAGGCTTCAGGATAACTTTTTGTCTTGCATACAACCACATATTGAAGAGACAAGAAACAGTAACAGAATAACTATTCCTCAGTTGGAATGAGATTGTATGGCGTAGCACTGTTCAAATTAACTGAAAGCCTTGCTTGCTCCGAGGCAATTTCACTAGGCACTAGGGTGATCATTCAGTAGCACAGACTATGTCAGTCAAATAGACTGCTGCAACATTTGATCATATGGCATCTAATTTTTTGAACTAATGCATCAGGGGTCCTTGAATCAAGGCTTACATATGGCAAAGATCAGAACAATACCATCTATATCAACAAATGGTTAACAAAAGGGGGTGCCAATAACAAATTCCTTATGTGTCTGGCCGTAATAAGTAAGATAGTTCAGTTAAGTGATAGGAAAACAGAAGAGAATGAGCATTAATTTCTGTTACCTTAAAACTCCAGCAAATGTGAAAGGAACCAGAATGTCTCCATGCAAGGCCATAATCCAACGAACGGGCCGGCTGAACATAACCTACAGGAAAGATAGTTATCATAAGATAACAATGCATGTTTAAAATTGGGAGGATAAACCAAAAGTTTAGAATGCATCAAGAGTGAAGCCAACATGCAGTACCTGAGAGTTCCAACGCATGGACTTTGGGAATGATAATTTACTGATAATACCAGGCAACTCTTCAGATAAGATCTACAAGTCCCAGGGAAAAAAAATAAAAAGATCACCACATGCGATTAAATAATGAAAAACAAGCCTGATATATCATCAAAGGATGCTTTGCTTAACAATTAATACAGATCTGCATGTTTTCCTACAATAGTACAAGGATACTAGATACATTGACATCAACATTAACACATAACAACCTCTGATGTCAGTCGTGCAGCTTCCTTCACATGGATATGAACATACTCTGTTTTCCCTGTCAGATAAATAAACAAACAAGTCACGCTAATTGTGATCAATAATCAGGCAAATTATGTGGAATAAGATTCTGAATATGAATTCAACTGTGTTTAGTAAAACAATAAAGCACCATTTTTTAAATAAATATACACAATTTCATCAGTTTTCTCCAAAACAACGGGGTCGTTTGGTATTGATGCTAGTTTGATTGGGATAATTATAGTACATGCATTGTCCACAATTCATCGTTTTTTGAATTTTCTACACAAACAATACATGAATTGTTTGCTTGATTTGACACAAACTATCACTCAAAATGAGTGATAGTTAAATCTCAAGTTTTGGTTGAGAATGTTTGGTAGAGATTGTTGAGTTTTCTTTGTTCCAACTATATCCCTACATTTTATGTGTGTTGTTTTTTAATATTGAAAACAAAAGGTAAAAGTGACATTTCACCCAAAAAGTAATATAACTTATTTCAATAACTATCACAAAAACCAAAAGATGTAAACTACAATACACCAATTTTCTTATATACATGTATTATTATGCATGCATTGATGACAATGTGTCAATTTAACTATCACTAAAATCGAACGACCCAAAATATTCATATTTAGGCATATGCTTCTAAACATAGTGCTCATCTAATTTTTTGATAAATGACCCTTAACAACTTAAGATAGTGAAGCCACCACAACCAGTCTATAAGCGACTGCTGGCTGGAAATAAATTTTCTTTTACGAGAGCAGACTGGAAATCATTGAAAGCCCAGAAGTCATGCGATAATCTGACTCACCATCAACCTTTCTAAATAGTGAGTCCAGAGACACATTGTATCTACGGCAAAAACCCTCAGCGGCCTGGTAGCAAAAAAAAAACACAAGATAATTGTTATACCACCAGTCGATAATGATACAGAAGATGATGGAAGAAATGAGCAATGATATGCAGTCAACTAAGTGCCCGAAGAAGTGAAGCAGCATTTGCCCAATAACACTAGAAAAAAAAAGCGTAAAAGAAAGGAAGATATGAAACAACTATTTCTACAAAGAGTGGAGAACCACAAAAGAAAACATTGGTTCAATATGAAAGAAAAATGCTCAGTGTTTGTCATTATCTTCTTTTATGTGATAAAAATATAAGCTGAAGGCCACACAAGCCTTAACTCAAATGATGAACGATATCAGAAACCAAAATATACCTTCGTAGGTTTTCCCTGCCCATCAAAAGCCTTTGAAACGGGGGACCCCGAACCTCAATCTCCCTTTCGGATTGCTTAGTGCTAAGGTTCTCCACAAATATCTGGTAAAATGCATAAGTAGGCTGTGATATAAATCCAAAAAGGAATTTCACACAGAAAAAAAGAAAAGAACGAAAGATGTACAGTAAAGTAGCTAACAAATTATCCCGGTTGCTAAGACAACCAGAAAACACCAGTTGTAGGCAGACAAAGGTGGCTGCATCATATAATTTTCCAATTGATTGATAGGATGTAAGAATTGTTGAAATCAATACTGTATATGTAGCCCTACAGCACTGATTTTGAGAACAGAAAAATCAAACATCTTGCTGCCCTTATTGCAGCAAAGATGTGACGCAAGCCATGAATAGCACATTAAGTGAGCAGGAACTTTTATAGCAATACCACCAATCTGCGAGGAGTGCCAAATGCTTGAATTTTCCCATGGCCCAATCTCTGTTTATCTAGCAATTGAAGTAGTAAACCTTCAAGCTGTAGAGTGAACAAACACAAGGGCATCATTAGGTGTATCTTAATAATTACAAGGGAGTAGAGTAAACGGATAATCATACAAACTCATAACCCAAAGAGTATGAATGAAAAATATGGAAAATCAAAGAAGTTAAATTTCATGTTATAGCTAATGTTCGCACTAATTTCCAAAGTAAGGGTGAGTTGGAACAAAATAGAAGCTACTAAAAGGCATGTGTATTCTAAAGGTATCAACTAAAGGGGATCTATGAAGTGGAGCTTTTCAAGATCCTGGCTTCGCATAATGATTAATAGTACCTGCTCGCCGCCATAAATAACATCAAGAGGAGGCAACTCTTCAGTCCCAATTTCGAGTACAAATGACCTTGTGTCATCAAGAACCTGCTTCGAAAGGAAAACAGAAACAAATGAAAGCAAACTTGTCACGTCTGAATGCTCATGCATACATCTCTTAAGAAAAAGTTAAACCCAAAAGCCTGAGCTATTGAGACTGAGGCAGTTTATACAGTGTATCCTATTTTTCTATTTCAATTTAGAAAACTCCATCAATGAAATGCCCACCATGCCCGAAGTTAATGTAGTACTATCACAACCAAAATTTAGTAAAACGAATCACATGCAATCCACCATTACAATCGCATTCCAACATTACATTCATTCTTAAAAGTCCGTTGACAAAATACATGATATCTTTTTAAAAAAAACATGTATGCGACAATACATGGCTACCAAATGACCTCCTAATAGTTGATGCTGGAAGTTATAAAAGATTGACCATCAAAATCTCCTGGCAGTGACGTCCTACAAAAGACCCATTCCCTGAAAGTTCAAAGCCTGATAACTGAATTGAAATTGTTCTGGCATACGCCAAGTTGCACCTGAAGTTGGACAATTACTTTTCACTATATACGCCATTAACCTATTCAGCTTTACATGTGTATGTTGGGAAGTAAGTAAATGTGTGAGGGGTGGATTGATGCCAGTGAGAGACCTAATAGATCATGACTGTCAGCGTTAAATCATCAAACATCAACTATCCACTGGTCAGCTAAACAATTGGCAAGAAACAGCGTAAAATGGATCCTAGTAACATTAGAAACTTGGTCAAAATGAAATTAAGAAATGAAAATAAGAAGGTTAAAGAATAGAAGACAGTAATTGAAGTGAACACGGAAACAGATCTCCAAGGTACAACAGACTGACCGTCTTGGTCTCTGCCTCCAAAAACTGTTGAGTAGAGGTAGAATGAGCAGGTTCAGAAACAGTACCCAACGGATAGCCCAGTGACTCCCTGGTTGTCGACCAAAGTTGAGCACACTGGCGAGCTAAACTGATAAATCATCAATGAATTAGTAGATTTCGTAGCATTGAACCAATGGCATATATCTTGACATCATTCTTATTTTCTTGTAACCACTAGCTAAACAACATAACTAGACATCATTCTTTGAAAATGATGTAATGATTAGAGAGGTTGAAGTGGCACACTTACTTAGGCGTCAGAAATATAAAACCCTAAAGCTGCTAGCCTTCCCCGTAAAAATGGGAAAGATAAAGTTGTGCAGAATGCTTGATTTCTACTTCCAACTCTATGAGAAGCCGAAAGGTTCATCTTACTTAAGAATACATAACTCACCTACGCATTCGACCAAAATAACGAGCACGCTCAGTCACACCAACAAATCCTCTAGAGTCCAAAATATTGAATGTGTGAGATGTCTTCAGAAGCTGATCATACCTAGTAGGACAAGCGAACATCACATTGGGTAAACACAGAGCAAGAGAAAGTTATCCAGGTGTATGCAGATAAGCAGACATCTAGTTCAGTAAGCTCAAAGGAAGTGAAACTGACAGGGCGTAAGATTAAATGAAATGTAGCAAAAACTTACGCGGGAATGGCCAAGCCTAAAGCAAGCAGAGAACGAGCTTCTGCCTCAAAAAGATCAAAGTGATTATGAAGCTGATGAACACTGGCATGTTCCAAGTAATACGCACTCATTTCCTTCCTGAAACGAGAGGATCCATGGTCAAACAAGCTTTCCGAAAATTATAAAGAGGAATTTGCATCTAAGATGGAGGCCTGCTAGTAGAATAAGATCAAGAAAGGGAGACTTCGTTGGAATCAAGAACGTCGGATAATGAGTTGGTAATGAATACAGAAGCATAAATAAAATCAGGGAGATAGAAGGAAGAATAGATGAAAAATGTACTTCAAAGAAAGAAGGTATATAATTCAGAAATGGAGAAAATTTGTTAACTTACTCATTTTCAGAAAACAACTCTCCATAGGTAATGCCATCAGCATATTGTATCTTCTTAAAATGATCAACTCCCTACAGTTAGTATGAAGAACTTCAACAAATAGTATAAAGATTATATCATGGTACGGTCAATGAAGGTGAGAAGACAAAAAAAATAATTACAGAAGCATAGCGATAACCTGAAGCAACATGAGGATGCGCTCAAGGCCATAAGTTATCTCAACAGATACTGGTGACAACTGAAGACTTCCAGCCTTGAAATAGATGAAAATAGATACAAGGCAAGCAAAATGTCAGCATAGCAAGTAACAATGCCAGATACTGTAACTCTATATCAGCAAAATCATATCTAGATGTGCTATTCACCTGCTGAAAGTAAGTGAATTGAGTGATTTCCATCCCATCCATCCAGATTTCCCAGCCCAATCCCCAAGCACCAAGTACCTACAACCATTTTCATGTCAATAAGGGCTTGCAGATGGTAATATATTAGTACTCCAAGAAACATATCACCTTACCGGGCTCTCCCAGTTGTCCTCCACAAACCGTATATCATGGTCACTAATGTTGATGCCTGCCAAATCAGATGAACCATAAGAACACCAGACACAAATAACCATACCTAATGAAAAATACACACACAAACCTATCAAGACAAAAGTACACAAAAAACTTTGGTAGCAGTTACATACTAACTAATGTAAGTTCCTTTTATGATCTGAGGAGCCTAACTAGCCGAAATTCTGTGCATATTTACAACCTAGGGCTGGTTAGGTTTTACGATAGACTGCCTTAATTCAAATCTGTTTCACATTCTAATTTCCTAGAGACAGCTTTATTTAATTTTGCTTAGGAAAGGAAAATTCTAATGCATAAGAAATTTCTTAAGTAAATATACAAATGATAAGCAGGAACATTCACATTAGGGATTATACCTAAAGCTGAGAGACTGCGAATGAAAAGATCTTGCGAATTTCCAGGATCAGGCTTCAATATAACCTGAAACAAACAAGTAACACAAATTATAAACATCAAAACAACTTATAGACACATTGAATAACAGCATGAACACCCAAAAATTAGACACCATAAAACAAATCCAATATGACCTGAAATTGTGTATGGCGCTGAAGCCTATTAGGATTTTCTCCATAACGACTATCATCAGGTCGAACGCTTGGCTCTACGTAACTTTCACAGGAAATATTCCCAATAACCAAAAGAAACGGCGTGGTCACTCCATAAGCACGAGATAGATAACCAGACAAATGCCAGACAACAATGATAGAAGCCTCTAAAAGTGCAAGAACTTACGCCACATTCCATGGCTCAGGACCGAGGACCCTCAAGAAAGTGAGAGGATTCATAGTCCCAGCACCAACCTAATAAGTATAGTCGGAAATTAAAACAATTAGGCAGTATGCAACTGCAGAACTTTCGGATTGAAAAAGCAAAATCACAGATGGCAGTGTAGTAGTACCTCGGTGTTACTACATTGCATCACCGCACAACCAACTGAAGCCCAATAATCCTACAAAACACTCAGTACTATCAGCTCACTGATCGCAATGCAAAATACTGAATTAGAGACGGAAAAGAAGGTGACCAATGAGGAAAACAAATGAAAAATGCACCTGGAGCCGCTGAATAGCTTGCTGAAAGTGAGGGCTAAGGGTTTCCGAGGCGGCTCACTGTTCGGCTCGGTCGAGGAGTGCTGATGCTGCTGCTGAAAGGCAGAGTTGCTTATCGCGGAAACCGTCGTTCTTCTGAAATGGCGCCGAGTGACTCGAAAGCGACTGGGGTTTACGCCAATGACCGAGCGGAATAGGGAGAGGCTGCATGCCTGAGGCTTAAGGAAGGAAATCACCATCGGCAACGCGAGGATTGCCATGCCTGCCGTCGCTTGTTCCAATCCTGAGAGTCGACTCTCAAGTTTCAACTCAACCTTATGGGCAGTTTATTTGTCATTCCATTTCTGTTAGATATCATACAGAAAATAAAATTAAAATGAAAACGAAATTATCAGATATAATAATCGAAAACAAAATTAAAATGAAAACGAAACTACCGTTTTCCGAAAAACAAAATATTAAGAAACCTTGTTTATCTGAAAATTTTATAGTTTTGAAATAGAATTCTAAAAACGAAAACTTGTTTAGTTACTTCATATGTTTTCTTTCATTGAGTATCATACAACCCTAACCATGATTATAATTTTTAATTCAAATTAAATAATTTTTAAACTACAAATAAACACAATACAAATAAAACATCTTATATAATAAATTACTAGTACAACGAGAAATTTTACAATACTATATAGTATTGATGTTATAGGTTTTTGCCTTTATGGTATAATTTGAAATTGTACATTTATGTTATGGTACAACTTCATATTGTACCTATACTTTTTTTGTACAAATTTTTTATGGTACAACTTGAACTTGTACTTTTATGTGATGGTACAACTTCAAGTTGTAAAGTTGTACCATAATATAATGGTACAAATTGTTTTATAGTACAACCTAAACTTATACATTTAATGTTATGGTACAACTTTGAGTTGTACATTAAAACACTAAAGTTATATAACAAAGTAGAAGTGCTCACAACATCAAATTTAAAATAAGTTCAGCTTATACAATTTCAAACTGTTTTCTCTTGCAAGAGCCTCTGGATCTTGCAGCCCTCTGAGTTGCTTATACCAATCAGCAATACAACAATTCGCAATTGCTCGCACACAAATGCTTCAATCCGTCTAGGAACTGCTCCATGTTCGTCGCCAAATATCAGAGCACAAACCATACATGTCACCATTGTTGAGTTCCACAGATATCATTCATCCATAATTGAGCCAAACAAACGAACAACTGGGGAACTCAGTACTGGATGGATCGAATCTCCAATCATGGAGTTCCACAAAATTGAAGGCACACACATGGGTAATTTTGAGAGAAAATACTAATTGAAGTTGAGAGGGTTGGGTGAAAGCTGCCTAGTCTTAGACCCACATGAGAGATTGGTTAATTAGTCTATGCAAGGGAGAGTAGTCATTATTCGAGGTAGGTCTCTGGACGATGAAATTTTCAATAATAACTCACTTGACAAAAATTCAATTCTCTGGTAAACGGCGGATTCGGCTGGAGCTTCTCGGTCGATGATGGCGGCGCGGGGCTGGCGAGGAAGAAAAGATGATGGTGTTGTGGTCTGGGCAGATGACGGCGGCGCGGGGCTGGCGATGGAGAAACGATGATGGCGGTAAAGATGATGGGGCGGGGTTGCTGGAGGGATAAGGAGATGGAGATGGAGGCCGGGAGCGAGCGAGAGGTTTTTAGGCTTAGAGTGGGTGGTGGAGCAAAACGACGTGTTTTGGAGCACGGAGGAAAAGGGCGGAAACAAAAAAAAAAAACTGCGGCTAATCCTCATAGCTTCCTCTCCCGCTCCTGGAGGAGCCTCTCCGCCTCCGAAATCTCCAAAGCTCTGGCCCCACCTTCACACCACCAACTGCTCTTCTCCAACCCCGCCGCCAACGCACCGGAAGACATCACCGCCGACCTCGACGCCGCGCAGCAACCTTTTCTCCTTCGCTTCCTCCGAGACCTCCCAGATGGTCATGGACCGTCTCCCTGTCTCACTCGCAAGAGGTCTCGCCGAGAACTTCCGGCAGGCTTTCACACAGCAGCGGCCCACTCAACGGTTCACTGACGGACAGCCCACCCGTTTCGCCGTCGGAGATCGAGGAAGTTAAACCGCCCTCACCGTCTCTGCCCGTTTCAGCCGATCTCTGGCTTCAGTTGCTGCGTTCATTTCATTCCCAGATCCGTCTGGTGCTGCTCCACAGCTGCCGACTCAGAGCTAATCTCTCTACCAATTTCTTTTGGATGACCTACACTTAATCCTTTCTTTTACTTATATTTGCCTGCGCTATTCCTTTCTTTTATTTGCTATGTAGTGTTAGGATCCTTCTTGTTTTTTCCTTGTTTTTTCTAGGTTTCAATTGTGTTCTATGGTTCCTTTTGTTCTGCCGTTTGACTGTAGCAATCTTGGATTTTCCTTTCTGCAGTTGCCTCTTTTCTACAGGATTTTAGGAAGGAGCTTGAGATGCAGGGTTGGCTTTGCGATTCACCGGCGCCGGCCGATTGTTTGTAGAAGAAGACGGGTTCACGGGAGCAGTGGCGGAGCCACACACACAAGCTTGGGGTGCTTTGCAGCCCCCTTGGCGGAGTAGGGGAAAAAAACCAACAAGAAAAGCATGTATGAAGATTTGAACCAATCATTTGTCCTAATGTTAGGGATGGCAATGGGTCGGGTCGGGGGCGGATAGTGCATATCCGTTACCCTACCCAAAGTACTTCGGGTTTTACCCATACCCATACCCGCATGTGAAACGGGTGGAAAATCAAAACCATGCCCATACCCATTCGGGTTTCGGGTATCCACGGTTATCCATGGATATTAATTTCTCTTCATAACTCCAACCAATATGTTAACATTCACACGTATTCTTATATTAAGTAAGAGAAAAAGTACGACAAGAATTCACTATAATGAAGAAAATTAACTAAAACAACATAATTTCATGAAAATGTTATATTTATATGCTAAATATAAAAAATGTTAGAGAAAAATAATGATTATTTCTAGACAAAATACATATGCATGTGTATAATCGGCGGGTTCGGGTCGGATAGTGAGAAATCCATGCCCACCCATTACCCTCAATATTCGGGTTCGGGTTTTACCCGTACCCACTAAATGTCCTTCGGGTTCGGGTTTTACCCTACCCGACTAGGCCGAATTCGGGCGGATATCCACGGTTACGGATATTTTTGCCATCCCTACCTAATGTGTATGCCCTTCCATATGATCTCGATCAAATAGGTTTGGTGATCACAATATGTATTCTGTTTTATTTAAAATAAATGATTTTTCCTAAACTTCTAATTAAAATGATTTGGTTGCTCCACAAACGGTTTTGGAAATCGATTAATGATGTTGAATGAAGCATTGGTGACATTTGTTGAACAAAATTTGTGTTGCTAGTTTGGACAAGGAATGTGTTCGATCTACAATGATTTAATTTTAAAATATCAAATCTCATCGTAGTTTTCTGTAAGTTGTGTGCGTCAAACTATTATTTTGTAATTATATTATACGATTCTTGAGTATTGTGTTGTTGACTTTTATTTTTTAAGAATTAAATTTTTTATTATGTGATTTATGTTTTTTTAATGAAAAAGACACCCTTTGACTAATTTTCTAGCTCCACCACTGCATGAGAGGGAGGTTGTTTGCATGAAGGGCGCGTGGCAGTGGAGTGGAGTCCTGACCAGCTGTCTTGTTCTTTGTTTCTTGCTGGCACGTGTTGCTAGCAGATCGATCAAGGGAATGGATAAGTTTTAAGGGTTAATTGCATGGTTGGTCACTGAGATTACAAAAAGCGTTCATGTTTGGTCACTATAAATATTTAAATCTATTTTTGGTCACTAACTTTACAAAAACCGTTCATTTATGGTCACTCTCCGTTAGCTGCAGTCCAACGCCGTTAACGGCGTCCGTTAAGTGATGACGTGGCTGACGGATTTGCCTAATCAGCACTTTTTAACCCCAAAATTAACTGACCCGACCCGCCACGTCATTTAAACCCGCCATGTCAGCTAAACCTAACCAAACCTCTACCCAAACCCGACCAGACCCGCTAACTAAAACCAAACCAGACCACACCCCCAAAATTGTTTGACTAAAACCCTAATCGAAGACTGCCTCCATCTCGCGTATCCTTCATCTCTTCCGTTTTCCTTCCTGGAGATTTTCAAGCTGCTCGGGAGATCGCCGCAGAGATTCTACTTCGCCCAGTAACCCCAGGTCCAATTCCCCAATTAGACTCTGCTCCGATGCTTCCACTCACCAATTCTCCGCAGCCGGAGTCCACCAAGATTAAAAAGCCCAAAATTGCCCCTGCCGATTTCATCTCGAGGAAGAATTCCTTCAGCTCTCTCACCTCCCTCCTCTCCCATGCCTACTTATCCCAGCCCCGCTCCTGGATCTTCGTCTTCGTCCTCTTCATCCAGATCCTCCTCCTCCTCACTCTCCGCTCCGTCCCCTTCCACTTTCACGGCTTCCACCGCCGCCTCCCGTCTTCTCCCAGTCTCGCCGCCGCTCTCTGAGCCAGTCGTCATTGCATCCGCCGTCGCAGCAAGGTCCGACTCTGCCTCCACCGTGGCGGTCGATGAGGAGACTTACTCACATCGCTGCGAGCAAGGGTACGTCTACGTTTACGATCTCCCAAGCAGCTTGAAAATCTCCAGGAAGAAAAACAGAAGGGATGAAGGCTGCGCGGGATGGAGGCAGTCTTCGATTAGGGTTTTAGTCAAACAATTTTGGGGGTCTGGTCTGGTTTGGTTTTAGTTAGCGGGTCTGGTCGGGTTTGGGTAGAGGTTTGGTTAGGTTTAGCTGACATGGCGGGTTTAAATGACGTGGCGGGTCTGGTCAGTCAATTTTGGGGTTAAAAAGTGCTGATTAGGAAAATCCGTCAGCCACGTCATCACTTAACGGACGCCGTTAACGGCGTTGGACGGCAGCTAACGGAGAGTGACCATAAATGAACGGTTTTTGTAAAGTTAGTGACCAAAAATAGATTTAAATATTTATAGTGACCAAACATGAACGCTTTTTGTAATCTCAGTGACCAACCATGCAATTAACCCTAAGTTTGAATTTGTTTTTCCATGAAAAGCTCTCATCATATCCATTGTTCAATGAATGGACCGGGGTGTAGGGATTTGGGCTGTTGAGCCTTCTTTTTGGTGGGTGTTTTTGGAAACCTTAGATTCTCTGCTCTCATGAGATGGGCCTAGTTGGGCATTTTGCTTTATTTGTTTTGCCGGAGCTGGAGACGATAGTTTATTCTGCGGTTGCGTCAATAAGGTGCTTCATTTGTGGTGCAGCTATGTGTTGGCAAACAATTTTTGGGGGTTTTACATGCACATGGGAATGGAATGGTTGCTCTGCTTTTGCTATCGGCAAAGATGATATATTCTCCGGCTTCTCTGGCTTTGGCGCGTGTTGTGTACCCGCTTATATCTTATGTTGCATTATTAGGATACTGACAGGGTTGCCCATTTAGTGGCTAAAAAGGCTCTTTTATCGACGGATTGATTAGCTATCGACCGCCGCATTTGATTATTTCATTTACTACATATTTGTAAGCATACTGCATTGTACACCTACCTATGATATACACCTATCTATGACAAAAAAAAACTGCGCCCTTTGTGAATCGAACCCGGACTCACATTAATGAATAGTGACGTTTTTCCGCGGGAAACGGGAATAACCCGTCCTCTTGTTTCCAGAAACCGATTATTTATTGTTTACCCACTGCTTTCTCATTTGTAACAATTGATTTTTTTAACGAAAATGAAATGGACAACTGGACATGTTTTTTTGTCATTTGTTTCTTGATTTCCATTTTTTAAACAGAAAACAAAATGAGAAGTGAACAAGGCATAACGGAATAGTAGTTTAGGATATAAATAAAATATTAGGAAAAAAATAGGACACAAATGACATTTTGGTGATAGTTCGGGGTGTTGTAGTGGTATTAACCCTTAACTCTATAAGCATATATAACCTATAGGCTGGTTTTTGTTTCTCCAAAGAACATGTGGTTGTTTCTTTGAACATTATTTTGGGCCATTAGTGGAAGAACTTTCTTGAAAGCAGTGGCGGATCCAGGGGTGGCCACCCCGGGCCACGGCCCAGCCCTTCACTGGATCCGGAGTTGGTACAGGCCTTATGAATTTTTTGATGTTAAGCATTCGATCCAGTGTTATTTTATGATAAGATTGTGTATAATTAGAAAAATGGTTTATATGAACATATTCGAATCACTACTCTAAATTTAGCCTAGAAATTCTAGCCCCAAAGATTTTTGTCTAAGAAAATACAATGAAACCTAAAATTCTAAAAGGGGGTAAATTGTAAGTTTGGTCACTGGAATTACAAAAACATTTCACGTTTGTCACTAAATTTATTTTATTCCACCCATGGTCGCTCTCCGTTAACTTTATCTGACGTGGCAGTCAACTAACGAAGAGTTACCAAACTTGAACTGTTGAACTAATCTTAGTGACTACGAATGAAATAAATTAATTTTAGTGGCAAAAGTGAACTTTTTAAGTAATTTCAATAACCAAACTTGCAATTTACCCATTCTAAAAGATTAAAACGTAAAGGACCAAAAGAAATATGAG